TAGATAGATAGATAGATAGATAGATAGATAGATAGATAGATAGATAGCAGGCCTGCACAACATAAAGCCTGCCAAAGCATTTTGTGCAGCACGTGAAAAATGTAAAGAATGTAAAACAGGCCTTCACGACATACTGCCTGCAGGCTGTATATTGTGCAGGCCTGATATAGATAGAGATAGATATGTGTGTATATTTATGTGTGGGTGTGTGCATCTGATACTTAGCACCAAGTTTTCCACATAGTTGCTACATGTTTCCTGAATGAATGAATGATCAGATGGAAGGTGATCAGCACATAATTAATTTTATCAATTGACATGATAAAAGAAGACATTTTTGGTTGTGTGTCTTAAAGGATTTCCGTGTGCTCTTTCCCTCACAGTGACTATGGCTATGAGCGGCACAGCAATGGCCAGTGCCTGCCAGCATTTTGGTTCAATCCATCCTCCCTATCAAAGGATTGCAGCCTGGGACAGAGTTACCTCAACAGTACTGGGTGAGTGGGCTAATGGAATGCCCTTGAGAAGCTGACCTTTGCTGTGTTCAGCTGGTGCCTGGAAGCTGGGCTCCTGATCAAAGGGCATTTGAAGACTTGTTTCAGTGTAATGTAATTTCTTTGACTTTGTCCCTTTTAATAATGCAGCAGTGCTTTGCATTTATAGTGCAACTTTCATCTGACAATTGTCAGATCCCAATTGCATATAAAGAAGTGTGATGTGATCTTTGGGTAATCATAGTAATAAATAATTCTTTGCATAGATCTGATACTATCACTTAATCTCTTCTGCCACATTTTATCCTTTCCTCAGTTCTATGAAGTAGGTAGAAGAGGTGGCTTATCCCTATTTGCCCTATCAACAAAGAAGTAATAGAAAGGCCTGGTGATTTCCTCAAAGTCACATAGTTAATTAGAGGAATGTACCTCCCTGAGTCAGCCTGGAAGTGCCCTATGGCACAGGCTGAGGCTTCTTGAGTTAAGAAGAAAAGAATGCCATCAGTCAGGAAGACTTTTTTCACAAAGGAAACTAGAAGTCACAAGCCATCATGAGAGCCGGAGATCAGTTACCTGAGCTATGAGTTGCTAAACAGAAAGGCCTGAGATGGGAAGTAAAACTATGAAGCAGTATTAGACAATCACAGTTTCCAATGGACATGCAAATACCATGATCTGGGTCATGCAAAAATGAATAAATAAATGATGGGAGAAGTAACATTTAAGTTTTACAATGTGCATGATCCAACCAAAAGCACTGCACATTTCACACGTTTGCATGTCTGTTTAAGCTTCAAAGTTTGGGGCTAGTCCAGCCTTCAGAGAAAAGAATGCACAAGGAGAAAAAAGACTGGTTCTGAAGGCAGTGGGTTTCTTCTCACTACTGGTCTCCAAGCATACGCTGGAAAGATAACACTTAAAGATTAATTGTTGTGGATGTTAAAGAGAAAAATTCTTGTCCAAGTACAGGTTGAACAAGATAGACTCTGAGTTCCTTTCCGAATCTGAGATGTGATGTTCAGGGAAAACCTGTGACTGAGTTTCTAGATTGTTGCTTCCCACATTAAACTTCTCAGGTGTGGCCAACTTTAAAGAAACTACTTTAGAAGAAAGCCAGATTAAATCAGATGTACATTACCCTAAGGAAAAATGAGAAGGTGGTTAATCTCTTCATAAAATGATTCTTTATTTTATACAAAGTCTCAGTCAACATGTTTTTTAAATAGCAAAACTCTTCCCAATTGCTTAAAAATAAATTTACCAAAAATGTTTATTTTTTTTTACAAAAATACTTGTAGATTCAATTTATAGCAATTTAACATACTACTTTTCAGTAACATTCTATTGCTTAAAGCAAAGTACATCCATAAGCTAGTATGCTAAGTGGCCCTGAATTTATACCTAATCATAAGACATTGAGGGCCTGTCATTAGACCCTAGAGTACTTTCCCTTATGTTCAGTATCATGGGATATTCCATAGGAAGGCCTGACCCAGGAGGAATTAGCTCAATTGTTTATGGGAAGCTATTAATTTTATGCCCCTTTCCCAAGATTTTCACTCATAGAGTTGGCAGTGTAGAGTACACTGGGGAATGAGGATTTATGATTGAGCTCAGCCCTTGATAAAACACCTGCCATCGACCCCAGAGTCATCATTTTAACACACAAGGGCTGTCAGACTGGAGCAAGAGCTAGAATGCCCTATTGATCAGTGATTGATTTCTTCCTGGCCAAGTACTAGGCACTTCAAATCAAGTGATCATTAGTTAAGACAGAGACCTAAAGTAGTCACTTTCAGAAAGGGCCTCACTGCTCCATTTCTACCTGCTAATACCTGTAACCAACTCAAGTTCTGTTTAAAAAAGGAGTAGTGCAAAGAGAAGATTCTGTATTTTCGAATACCATGGGCCCATGCTGTGCCAAGGATGTTATGAACTTGCCTTCAGTATTTAGCACTGGGCCTGAGCTCTGGTACCAGTAACATTGTCCAGCTGAATTTAAAATAAATTATTACCTCAGGTCTCCCATTGAGGGGAGTAACTTAGTTCTCCATCAGAAGGTAACTTAGTTCTCCATCAGAAGAGATGTGCAGGTGACCTAAAGAAGTATTGACAGGGAATAAAATGGGATCATTGTTAGTTTGGTCAATGTGACTTTAAATATACTCAGATGTATAGGGATATATCTTTATTCTGGTCTTTTTTCTCCATTGACCATAGGATCATGGCTTAAGAACTGATGGGACTTTTGAGACCATCTAGCCCAAACCCTTCATTTTATTAATAAGGAAACTGAAGCCCAGAAAAGTTAAGTGACTTGGGCAAATGTACACAGCTTGGAACCCAGGTCATCTGACTTCAAATCCAGCTAGCTTTCCTTTGTACACCTAAATCTTCTAAATGTCTGGAATTATGTCAGTTTATACATATAGACCCACAGACACATTTATACATACTTTTGTCCAGTAAAATATTTATTTCCTATTGTTTCTGAAGCAGAGAAAAAAGTTACACATAGTAGAAAAGCTTAAATTAAGAAATCAACTGAAGTACAATTTAAGCACTGAAAAATGAAGGTTTTTGTTTTTTCATTTCAAGCAACCCAACAGAGTCTTCTCCAGGGGGCAGCTCTTTTCCTAATATTAGCTTTGTGATCATCCTAGGAGCCATCTCTAAATGAGTTAAGGATGCTATTCAGAATATATATAGAGGAACTTTTTTCTATAGTATTTCTATAGAGACAGTATGCATCTCTCTACAGAAAATGCTAAGCAACCAATAAGAAGTTTATATAGCAAACTGACTGCTCTTCAGGGCTCTTGTTTGATAAACAGTGGAAATATTTACTGAGGGATTCTGATAAATGAGTACAAGTTGTAGAAACTCAGCACATCAACATTAACAGATCTAGAGGAAAATGGTGCAAAATGAATTTCAGTATGTCAATGGATATCCATAAATTGATGAAGATAGAAACTTATCAGTACTTTCTCATCCTAGGTAACTCTTATCTATAGTATTCTATAAATTTTCCATTAAAAGTCCACTAAATATATCAGGGATTTTGCTATAGATCTCTTGATGTTTCATGAGCACCAATGACAGACATGGACAGTCACTTATGCCTCACTCCCCTTTTCTATTCATGCACATTTTTGATAATATAATTTATGTCACTTGATATACAAACCTCTTCATATATTTAGCCTATTTACCATGCATATTTCCATTGCCTTTAGATTAATAAATAATTTTTATTCCTTGGAATTGTGATAATCTAAGATTCTAAAAATACAGCATCATTAAAAGAATGGGAAAATGGACAAGATCTGGGATTTTCTTGGTATAGGGCACTCCCAATGCAGAAATATCTTATAAATGTAAGTTGATACCTTTTCTGCAATGTAATTTTACTCTTAGAAAGCTGCCTAGAGCTCTCACAGGTTAAGTGACACCTAGGGAATAGCAAGCTTAAAAAGATATGTTGGTGGTGTTTTGATGGAAATTCTTAGAGATGTTGAAAATGCCACACTTTCTGAAAGTCAGTCTCATCTTCTGTTTCTCTTATAAGGTTCTGGGCTTAATCCATTCAATACCTATAGCATCAATATAAAACATAACATGTACCCAAAGTCTTAGTGCAGTTTTATTTTTTTAAAGACTTCAGAAGTATACGTACTACATATAAACTTTTAAAAATATTGAAAATTGAAGTATTTAATTTTCTTATACTTATTTTTTGTGAATTTTGAATAATTAGTTTTAAATTTTAACAAGACAGAACACCCCATCATTATGCATCACAGGTGCGGCAGTTTCTTGACGATGTTTCTCATGTTGACAAATTGGAAGAGGAAGTCCTCTTGCTTGGTTATCTCGATCATCTGATCTATCTTCATTATACTTTTTTCTTGGGGGGGAGTCACATTAAAATTTTTATATGCATGAGAACCCACCATTTGGATGATTTGAGCATTAGGATTACAAATTAAATCCTTTTAGTAGCTAAACAGCAGATTATCAAAGTTTTACAAAGCTTGAAAATGTACTAGAGCACAAAATAGTGATCATGTTCAATTTTAATAAGAAAATCAATATTTAAAACAAATATACACAAATAACATTTCAAATGTTGGGATTCTTTTTTAAGGTTGTAGTATATACACTTCTTAAGTTATCAAAGTTTAAAATTGCACTAAGAGTTTTGGGATACTGTATATGTTCTAATGAACCATATTAATGTTCATCCAGTTGCATTTCATAGTTTGGACAATAGTGATTCTTTATCTGTTTGGGTTTCCTGTATAGATGATGATGATGATGATGATGATAGCTGAGATTGTTATAGTGCTTAAAAACTGACAAAGCATTTTAAATGTATATCCTGTTTGAGAGTGACAAGTACACTAAAAGGTACTATATAGTACTTCAGTATATACTCATTTTACGGAGGAGGAAATTGAGGCTGTGAAAGGTTAAGTGACTTGTACAAGGTCACACATCTTCAAAAAATTATGGTTAAAATTTGAATTTAAGTCTTCCTAAATCCAAGTCCAGTACTCTCTCCACTAAGCCACAGTACCTAATAGTTTGGCTAAACTATTTCAAGTGAGTATAGATCCCATTCAGTAGGTCCTATAATGTTTTGGGATTTGAGGCAGTCCTGAGAATGTCATCCATAAACAGGAATGTCTTTAGGACATCTCCAGCTACTTGCCTTTGGATAGCACATACGGTCGTCCTCCATAAAGTGACAAACACCTTTGGATATTTTATGACCTCTTGTGTTGGACTTCTCTTGATATTAACATTATTATACAATTATTATATAATGATATATTATTATATGACATATACTAACAGATCAATATTATATATAATCTTATATATGTTATATAATAATATATTATACACTAATATAGTATATATTATAATGTATTATTATATAAAATTATACATTAAAAACTAAAGGACTATCAAGGAAAGCTGTCATAGCAGCTATC